GAGCAATAGGGGGCTCCCCCCTTTCAGTCTTCTTGAACTGCTTGGTAGAATGTGTGATTTATGAGTTGAGGAGGAAAGATAAACAGGAAAAAGTTGGAGAAGCGTTTCATGACCCCTTTAAAATCCCGTCGCCATAGCAACCCGTAAAAGGATTAACGTCGCAAGCCGTTGCAGCCGCACTCAATAGAACTCGCACAGGTGTCTGAATCGTCCTTAAGGTAGAGAGAAACCACCCTACGACTGAAAAGGAGTGCCCTGCTGTCATCTGGGCAATAACTAAGTTAGACCTGTATTTCAAGGGAGTCCTTTCCGTGTTGTCACAGACCACCACTCTCTCTGCTGGCTCGCAAATCTAAAGGAAACCTCCAGACGCCTTGCCCGGTGGAGCCTACAACTGCAGGAGGTTGACATGACCGTGATATACAAGTCCAGCCGAAAGCACAATGATGCCAATTGCCTGTCAAGGGCAATCGGCGTCATTCGATGCAGGCAGGTCCGTCGAGGCCATGGTACGACGATGATGACGAGTGTTTCCTTAGCACTCTGGAGGTCAACGAGACGACCCTGAACTGCGAGCACTCATCGAGCACCTACCTAAAGGGACAAGAGAGTACGGTTCTCGCACGTCCGTACGAATTCTGCCTACCTTTGCCATTCAACTAGAGGCACTGTACAAGGAGGGCGACAACAACACAGCATGGCTGTTGGTTATCACAGCCTTCAAGGAGAAGTCTTCCAAGGATGCAACGACGACCCAATGGCGGTGCACTTTGGGTACAGCGGGACACTTGCCAGAATTTGTGACAAGTACACCAGGTGACAAGTACACCTCCCCTCCTCCTCCTCCTCCTCCTCCTCCTCAAGAGCTGCGCTCTAAATCGGCATTACCAGGAAGTTGTAAACGTCTTTTTTTTTTCCTTTTTGTTAAGAGCGAGCCTGAATGTCAGGCTCGCTCTTAACTAGTCGAGTTAACCTGGACATCGTCTTCTCAGCCCCTAACAAACTTCATAGCCTGTGCAAGAGAGTAAACACACCCACAAGAACCACAGTCAAGTGCACAAAGAAACATAAAAACAACTTCATACAGTGCACCGAAAAGGTGGTCTACTCCTTCCCTCTATCCTGTGGACGAGAATACATAGGACAGACCGGACGGTGCGTCAACGATCGCCTTCGTGAGCACAACTGCACTATCACCAACAAAAACTCCAGACACCTAGGAATACACTGCCGAGACTGTGGCTGCACAGCGCAGCTGGAGAAATGCCCAGTGTTAGGCAGGAACTATGACAAGCTGACAAGAGAAATCATGGAAGCGGAGAACATTGCCAGGCAAAAGGAGAGATGTGTCAGCACTCCTTCCATAATGTTATCCAACAAAGAATTAGAGTACTTAGCCATACAATAATTTTATGGTTTAGCTTCCTATTACAAAAACACAGGAAAAAGAAGGAAGAAGGAAAGGGCAATTCTATGCCATAGAAACCCTAGTCCCAAAGAAAGACGAAAACGAAAATTGTAAATATAACGTAGAGTTGTCAGTCAGCGCTGTGTAAGTGGCTCTTTTTTGTGTGCATGAAAGCTTAGAGTGCTTGTTTTGAGGGTGCGCTGTTTCCTTGTCAGTCCTGAATGTCAGGTTTTATTGGTCACAAACCTGAAAGAGTTAATTTATTTCTATCCTTCATTCTTTATGTTTCTGCTTACAGATTTGGAGCGTGCATCTTCCGCTGGCAGATCTGGCTCAAATTGGTCATTTTCTGCTCGCAAATTTGTAGCAGCGCCAGCTCCATGGAGCACTTCCGACCACGCTGCGCCTGCTCCGTCAACATTGGCAGATCTCTCCAGAAATCGACAGCGGCGCACCGTGCGCAACACGCCACGGGCCCAGCCTGTCCGGTCGGTCGGCTGTTTACTCGAGGTGGCGACGGGCAGTGTGTGCATCGCGTCTTGTATGCTACCACCTTGTGTGGTTCAGGGGGTGCAGAAGCGGGTCTTGAGCATGGCAAATCATAATTACTGACATCTGCAATCCTGACAGGAAGAACGAGAAAGAGTAGGACAGAGAATCCGCAGAAGGAAGCAGACGCAAGGTTAGGCATGTTCGTCCTTTGCCTTTGTACACAGCATGCCGCCGCTGTTTTCTTGTGCAATACAGCAAAAACAGACCAGGCAACAACTGTGTAAGTGTGAGTTTGCAACCTCTGTATCCTCAGGGCCCTCGGGCCCTGAGGAAAAAATAAATGAAATGAATGAAATGAAATGAAAAATGTCTTAGCAACAATCCAAGCTCCACCACTGCCAATCACTGTGCGTGCCCCACCGTACTGGGTCAGCCGAAATGTATGGGAAGGTGGTGAACGCGCAACTCAGTGATTCGGATAATGCGCTCGACTTGTGTCGGGTAATTCTTCAGCTGGTGCATAGCGACAGCAATGATTGATCGTCAGAATTTCATTCAGCTCATCAAGGTCGAGCACAGGCAAGTTCAAGCAAGGCCGTTTTGAATGACAGGCCATCTCTGGCGGGTCACTCCAAAAATGCGACTATCTTCCGCTCAACAACCTGGAGTGAGTTCCACAAAGCGTTTGTTTTACTCCCTCGTGGATTTTGGAAACCGATCCGAAACTATCAGTGGAATTTACCATAACTTACAACTTTTCCTCTGAAGAAGACTAAACAAAACAGGTGTGGAAGAGAACTGAATCCATTGGAAGTATTGTGTCAATTGCATGTCCACTGAAGGTGGATCGCCTATTAACCTGGCAGTTAAGATTAACCCGCGACGTTTATAACGGGGAGCCCCACTCGCTGACGCCGCATGCGCCCACAAATTGCCCATGGCAATTTAAAGGAGCTGTGCAACAATTTCAGGGCTTTGCTTAAATTATTGTGGAAGTTGATGCCTGACACTTCTGAAGTGAACTACAGAAAACAGATTTTGCCTGGATACCCTAGCTTTTATTTACAAAAATAAAAAAGATCCAGGTTTTTGCCGCCTCTCAACTCGTACATCGTCTTCCGGGTCACGTGCGCAGTGATGTTGAGGGGGTAGGCGCGGGGTTCCGGAAAAGTTCTCTCTTTAGAGTCATCAGTGAGCAGCGAGAACTCATCCGCCCGCGACCGCGTGACCACGTGTTGGCGGGTGCCACGCGAACAATATGGTGAAAGGAGGAGAGTCTCATCCGGGTCCGGCCATAGCCCGTCCGGCCCTGTCCCCCTCCCCCTTTGGCTTCTGGCGGCTGTTTGCGGTAGCAGAGAGGGCCGACGGTTTTGTGGACCTAGGATAGATGGCGCCACTAAAACTCCGTATAATAAAAGTTTTGTCGATGATACCAGGTTTTTGACGCATTTATATATATGTTGGAACGACAAGATTTATAGAAAAGTTAACCTTTTATCGAGCAGGTATTCACACAACTTGCTATCTTTCTACAAGATTCCCCTTTGACGTCACGCCGCGTGTTTCTCATGGCCGCCGCTCGCAGCGGCTGGTCGGGGAATATTCTAATTTTTGCCTCGCTATTACGCGGAGGAATCGCAATATTTCGATGAAAGGAGGTGTGTTTTCTATCATTTATGACAAGGTGAACAATATCAAAAGCAGAAGATGCCAATTCTTTCAACGTTAAAATCGTTGCATAGCTCCTTTAAAGGGGCACTGACACCCCAAAGGTCGTATTTATTCTTATTGTCTAAAACGATGCAAGTTGCAGTCATAGACACGCAAAAAAAACCGCATCGCGAAAAAAAATTTTCCCACGCGCGCGCGCGCCTTTTTATTTTTGGCGTTTGATTTTCCCGCCTCTCGCCTCCTCGCTTCTTTTGATCGGTGACGTCAAAAATCAGGAAATTTAGAAGCTTTGTAGGCGACATCTCTATAACATTTAATAACGGCAATCGTAAAACATGTTTTTTAACGCAATTGCGAACGCACTACGGCCCTTCTTTTTGAAATACCAAAAATCGGGAGTTCGTTGTGGTGCCGTCTCCTGGATTTGTATCCTCCAACGGAAAACAGGCGACACCGCTCAAAACCGGTCCGCCGTAATAACGCCGCCGCTCACTCCTTTCCTCCTCGCTTTGGGTCGCCATGGCAACAGCAGGGGGTGGTGAAAGAAAGTCGACTCTCAGGTCTCCGCGATTTTTGACGTCAAGGCACCGGCGCCGATCGCGCGGGAACTTCGAATTCGGCATTTGGAAATTGTTTTTTTACTTCACAAATACTGAATTCCCAAATTTCAAATTTTGAGGGTAATGTCCCGGCATCGTTTTCAATCGTTTCGGATAATAAAAAAAAATATGATTTTGATGTGTCAGTGCCCCTTTAAGATCCCACTTCAAAATTTCAATGTGTTAATTGTAAAAATAAAATGCCGAACCGATTTAATATACTGATTACAGGTTAATTTGTACCGGTTCCGGCTATGGTCCATGTCAAACTTAGTTATCAGCTTGATTTCGGTTATGATTACTGAAAAAATTTAGCTCCCTAAACGGTTTTCGATTTGGGTTGCAGTTACGGTTACAGTCCCTAGTCCTTTTTGTCTAGAAAAAAAAACAAAAAACATGTTGCACAGAGTTAGGTTTAGCGTGCTAGTATAAAATGATTACCCCTTTTGCAAGAAAGCTGAAGTGCCAACGTCCACATGAAAAAGAAAGCTACCTCCAAAACAAAAATGGCAAACTCTCACAATTAGTTTCCAGACAAACATGTATAACGCTCAGCCCACAGACCCTAAATGGAAGAGGCATTTCTAAAACTGAAATAAAAGCGAAACATTGCTTTAAAAAGAATGTAATAATATGAAGCTTTCGGGTACCTTTAACAGTTCCCACTGACGATGCCAACTATTGCCTGCCACAGCAAGACTTAAACTTTTTCCTCTAACAAGTTGGAGGAAAATTCAAGAATCACTTGCTCCGTCTCATGGCTGATGGCTCTAGAGAGACTTCACGAAGCTCGCATACAACAGTCCAAATGAAACTGTCCCCCAATGTACCTTGTTGCCCATGTGGAGCATGCTGCCCGTAGCTCTGAGTAGTCGCGCTCGCGGCTGAGGTAGAACTCTGATTTGGAGTGGGGCTGGACCGGTTCGGAGGATTCAGCGAGCCTAAGAGGACACAGACAGATTTTGCATCACAACACTAAAAGGGCAGGCATAACACCACACACCAAAGAGGAAATATGTCATGCTGAAATAGCACTGCTTATTGATGTTGTACTCTATGGGGAAGTCGAACCGCCGCCGCGACACAGAACCCGAGTTAACAACGGGTTCTGTGTCTTTCCGTGTTGGAAACCTCCGGGTTTACATTCGGTCCGTGCCATTGTCTCCCCTGTTCTTTAGGATATATACCTCAGTGAGATGGAAAAAAGATTAGGAGCAGTGCAACCTAGGTTTTGACCTGACTTAAATGGAGGAAGGACATAAAGTAAATCAAGTATAGCCAGGGTTAATATATGCAGGAGACATTCTACCCGTATCAGAAAGTCGTAAGACAATACAGGAACTAATTAGGATTTGCAGCTGGGAAGGGGACAGTTTAGGCCTAAACTTCAGTAGGGACAAGTCGGGTTAACAGTTTTCAATGATGAGAAGGGGGAACCCCTGGAGATACAGGACACAGTGATAGAACACATAGAAAAGTACAAATATCTGGGAGTATAGTTAAATGAGGGAAGAAAGTATTTAAAAGAACACAAAGATATTGTAATAAAGAGGGGAAACGAGATTCAGCTATTATGAAACACAGGGAACTGGAACTATAGTAGGTATGAAGTCGTTAGGGGTGTATGGAAGGGAGTCATGGTGCCAGGGCTGTCATTTGGGAATGCAGTATTGTGTATGAGGTCAGAAATCCAGGCAGGTTTAGGGATGCAGCAAAGGAGTGTGGGTAGGTTGGCATTGGGGGCACATGGAAATACACCAAATGAGGGAGTACAGGGGGATATGGGTTGGGCATCTTTCAAGAGTAGAGAAGCAATCAGTAAAGTAAAATTTGAACAAAGACTAGCTGAAATTGAGGAAACATGGTGGGCAGGGAAAGTTTACAAGCATCTATATATGAAAAGTCTCAACACTAAGTGGACAAACCAAACCCGCAAGCTGAGATCTAAATATTACATTCAACGAGATGGGGCCGATCTGAGCATATCAGAAGAAAAGGGAATAAAGGAAATGAGGAAATTATGGGAAGAGAGAATGCAGGGGAAATCAGCTTTAGCAATATACAGGGCACAAAAACAAGAAATAAAGAAGGAACAGTTGTATGATAATTCACTGAGGAGCTCACTGCTGTTCGAAGCTAGAACTAGGGCGCCAAGAAAGAAAACATATAGGGCTAAATCTCAGGAAATAGACACTATGCGACGTATGCAACTGATAAAGGGAAACTATAGAACGGGGTTTTGTCCCACCCCCTGGGGGGGATGACTACAGATTTGGAGGGGGCACTGGGATTTGCAGACATTGATGGACGAATGGATAGGGAAAGAATTGCCGTAACTACTAAGAGGAGGTTGTAAGATTGGTGGAAAAAATCTAGGGAGGGGTGAAAATAAAGATAAAAATAAGCAATGGGAACACTTTAAAGGGGGGAGGGACGAGGGGGAAAGTTGTGTTAGAACAAAATTTATACAAATTTTAAAAAAGAAGGGATGACGAAATGTTGGGCTAGGTGGCGCAAGCTGCCGCCCGTTACAAAGGGTATAGCCATTACTATCCATTCATCCATCCAACAAATGTCAGACTGATATCTCAAAAAGTGTAGCTTTGACAAGCATTCCCTAGTCGAGAAACCATTAACATTTTCAATGATGGATAAAAACGAAATACAAGCGATCATCAAATATTTTTTATTTGAAGGAAAAAACTGCGACCGTGTGAAATCCAGGTTGAATGCTGTTTCTTGGGGTATCATCACCTTCGTTTTTCACTGAGAGTTTTTAGGTTTCCAAATTCAAGCGTGGTCGCATGGACACAAGTGATGAACCCCATTCAAGATGTCCAAAATCAGCTACCACACCAGAAATTGCGGATGAAATGCATCACTTGGTTTTGGAAGAACGCCTAATAAAAGTGTGTGAAATTGAGGAAGCAGTGAGAATCTCTTCTGGACGAGTTGTTCATATTTAACACAAAAATTGGGATTAAAGAAACCTTCTGCAAAATTGGTGCCGCACTTGCTCAATCCGGAGCAAAAACGCATTAGAGCCCAAATGTCAGCCGACAGTTTGCAAGTGTTTCAGGCAAATCCAACGGATTTCAAGCAACGATTTGTGACTACGTATGAAAACTGGGTCTACCCATTACATGCCAGAAACAAAAAGTAAACCGAAACGATGCACTGGGCCCGGTGAATCGGCTCAGAAGATGGCAAAGACCTTTCAGTCGGCAGACAAGGTGATGGCATCAGTTTTTTGGTATGACAATTTTGCTCATTAATTACCTTGAAAATGGAAAAACTGTTACTGATCAATACTACATAACACTTCTGGACAAGCTGAAACAAGTAATTCAAGAAAAACGCATGGGAACGGTCAAGAAACAGGTGTTGTTTCACCACGACAATGCTCCCGGCCATTCAAGTGCAGTCGCTCAGCAAAAACTGACAGAACTGAAGCTCAAAATCCTTCTGCATCCACCGTATTCACCCGATTTGGCTACCTCAGACTTGCACCTATTCCCGAAGCTCAAGACCTTCCTGGCTAGAAAGAAATTCCTGTCGAATGAAGAGGCGATAGAGGCTGTGAACTGTTGTTTTGGGGACCTCAAAGAAACTCGCTTCCGGGAGGGAATCGAAAAGCTGGAGAAACGCTGGACCAAGTGTGTCGAGCTTCGGGGGAATTAAGGCGAAAAATAAAGTAAAACCAAATAAGATACTGTAAACGACTTCATTTTTCGAGAGGACCCAATTTTTATTTCGCGGATCGCCTACAAATCGCGAAAAATGGGTCCCGCAAACAATTCGGGTAAAATGTAAACACATTGGAATCTATATTGAGACGCCACCATGTCGGGAAAATTAGAACCTGCAAATTATTCTAAAACTTCAGCTTTGACCTAAATCGCGAAATATTGAGCCCGCGAAAAATAAGCCGTCGACAGTATACTACTATATTGTTTTCATTTTCATTCCGGAAACTTTTCAATCTACCATCGTATTACAAACGCTTTTCCACCACCTCCTTTTATAAGCTACTGCTTTAAATACTCCGAGCTACAGCACGTTAAAGAGATACTGAAATGAAAATTGAAATATACCTCTCACGTTCAGAAATAGGTTGAAGATGATCAACCATATCTGCTAATGACAATCGCACGTTTGTATTTGGAACAGATGGCTATATTTTTCGTTTCTACATTCCTAACAATTGATTCTAGCGAGCGCTCGAAGAGTAGCCATTGGAGAGTGCAATGCGTCATGGGAGGCTGGCGTGGTTATAAGCTTCGCCACTTGGTGGTGTCAATGCATTACAACCTAGCCGTTCGAGGTGCCTGAGATCTGGTTGGGCAATGTAGCAGAGACGAAAAAGTTACTTCCCTGCGCTTTAAACTTCCTTGCCCTCCTCCCCTCCTCAGTCTCATCCCCTCTACCCACAAGAGATGAATAGGTACGGGTGTGAAGGAAAATTCGGTTCAGCCAAGTTCGACAAAGAGTGCACGAGTGCAGCTTGCCACCATACTTCCACAAAGTGTCACTGCTTTTATGAGAAAGTGGACGCAGCGACATTCGGAGTAGCTCTGGGAACATCAACCAGGTGCAATCTGGTAATCGGTTTATTCATTTTAAATGAAAGTTTTGGCGTCTTTTCGAACCAAATATTGGTGTCTCTGTGGTGTTGTCAGAATATAGTTGACATTTAGACAATAAAATTAGCACTAGAATTTAGTTTCATCACCCCTTTAAAGGCTGACCTACAGAATAGTCTTGCCGGGCAGAAAACCAGATCCCAGTTTCCTTTTCTCCATTCCTCTCACACTCTCCTGTCCTCACCCCACGAGAGGGGTTCTCCGAGCTTCTTTCCACAGGAAGGAGGAGGGTCTCCCCCTTTCTCGAATGGAAAGGAGGAGTCCAAAGAGTTTCCTCCTTTCTGGCTGCTTGTTGGCCTTTAAGACTTCTCAACAACCAATTCCCCGAGCTCTAACCAGTGTTGGGTAAAATACATAAAAAAAGTACTTGAAGTAAAGTACAAAGTAAATGAGAGGTAATGTACTTCAAGTGAAGTATTATAAACATAGTGTACTTTCAAAGTAAAGTACAAGTACTTTTAATTCAACCTTCCATTCCCCTACATAGTAATCTTTTCTTTTTTTTTTTTCTTTTTAACTGGTATGCATTGCTCACAGGGTAATATGGGGGTGCAGCAGTTATTTTCTGAAATGGCGAACATCGGATAAAGTCAAGTGGTCAGAGTAGTTGCTTTATTCTCGCCAACAAACTATTTAACACAATTGTATCAGTCTTATAGCCATCATTACTTCACTCAAAGAAATGATGGGATGATGTCTTGAAAGACGACAGTGCGTTTTCACATGATATGCTATTTTTAACGCGAAAGCATTAACTGTCCCATAAAGCGAACCGGTGTTATCAGCTTTTAAAGCCGTGCTAAACGGCACCTAAACTCCCCTGTCCCAATGGAGCGAAGCCTGTTGTCGTCTGTAGCAGCAATTTGATGGATAGGACCCCAATGGCTGGCGCGCATCATAGTTTCAAGGAACGAGGCATTGGCTGCCGTGCGGCGTAGTTCTAAGGAAAACCATCCCACAGAGAAGCCCCCTCCATGGCGGCGCAGCAGCCTGGCCTCCGGTAAGAAAGAGCGGCTGGCCGCAGAGCCAGCAGAGCCCGAACGGGCAGACTATGGAGAGGTTGCACGGCCGAGCTCAGCCTGGCGCGGCCACTTCACGAGAGCACATGCTCGGCCGTCGGCCGCAACCCCGGCAGTAGCGAAACGTCGCCATCCACGCCAGTACACCACAGACTAACCAAGGAAGCGGAAGAACGACATTCATGCTTTCGCATTCACAACTCATAAAAAATGCTTAAATGTCCTCAATTTTTTTTTTAGAGGTTGGTAAATTTTTATAATCAACCTCAGAAGCTGTGTAGTACTGGGAAAGCCAAGAATGCAAGCGCATGGTCCTTTGAAGAGCTTAACCCTCTAATCACCCGGCCCGAGCTGCACTCGTCATGGAAGGTTGTACCAATATCGCCAATGACGAGCCACACTCGTCCAGCCAAAATGAGGGTTTGTTTTCACTGCCAAACACGAGACAGGTTCGTCCATCCATCCATCCATCCATTGTGTATCTAGCCTTGTAACAGTGATCAGAAATGGCAGCACCCTTGAGTGATGCCGGTGACGGCCCACGGAAACGGGCTCTCTCTTGCGGCAGTTCGAACGGTTCGAACAACAAGACATCGAATTTGTCTCTGAAAGTGAGTCTGACATAAATTTTGAATTCGAAACGAACTTGGACGACGATTACAGTGACGAAGACGACGCGCTGGGTAGTGTTCGAGTGTGGCAAAGCGTAAATCGCGTAAACACTGAAAACCCGCCACCTGCGCCTCCGAGGTTTCCCCTTTTGTGTAGTGCCTGGGATTCTGCAGCAACCCACTGACGAAAAAGACATTCTCGGCTGGTTCAAGGTTTTTTTGTTTTTTTTATTGGGACCTTGTCGACCTCATTGTGAAAGAGGCAAACCGCTACGCGGTCCCGCATTTTGCAGCGCGGGGTTCTTCATGGAAACCGGTGGACCGCGAAGAGATGATAGTGTTCCTTGCGCTAATAATTTTGCAAGGAATCGTTGGCAAACCGCAAGTTGAGAGGCATTTGTTAGCGCTAGTATGGAGAAACGTCTAGGCACTTGATCTTTTGTTACGGTGCGTAAGTTCAAATGAATACTGCACAGTTCAGCACGTGTTATTCTATTACTTTTACATGCACTGAGGGAAAGCTTCCATAAAAATCAACTTTTTCTTTTAAAAGTTTTGTGTTAATATTAATCAGAAACCAATCAAGTAATGTATTTGCAATATCAGAACGACGCAAGAAAGAATATGTGGAAATAAAATTTGGTAAAGTTTGTACATTTTTTTTAAAAATAACTTGGTGGTTAAAGGGTTAATTTCACCTAAATAAATTTGGGGAATGCACTTTGAAATGGGGAGTTGTACTTTCCTCGGAAAGTATGAGAAAAATCCTTTAAGTACAAGTACATACTCGTCTCGGGTTTTTACAATAATGAACTTCAAGTAAAGTATGAGTTTCCTAAACCCACTTGAAGTAGCACTTTAAGTACAATGTACTTAAAGTACTTCCCAACACTGCCTCTAGCATAAGGCCTGGTCACATGAACTAGAGGTAGCACTTAATTGCTTTGATGAAGGAGTCGAGAAGCGTACGCCGCATACCTACTAATGTCCTACTAGAGCGACAGACAGAAACAAACGACACTGAGAAGCCTCAAATATGAGCAGCATGCACGCGATGGTAGCACCTTTGGCAGGCTTGCAGTCTCTCGGTGCACATGAAGTAAGCATGAGTGATTGCAATCCTGCCAAAGATAACTTCGAGTGCATGCTGCACGTGTTTGAGGCTTGTCGGTATCGGTTGTTTCAGTTTGTCGCTCTAGTGAGACTCGGGCATAAACATAGTGAATCGGAATTCCAGGAACTTATAAATATGGTTGAAACCAGGTGCCGGAAAGAGAGGCAGTACTGGGGCCATGCCAGAAGGAAACTTTGGACGAGGCGTCTCACCTTGGCTGCCGTATGGCGGATGATGCTGCTGCAGCTGAGACGGCGGTGAGGGCCCCTGTTGAGGTGTCCCAGGTCCCCCAGGAGGCGAAGCCACCGGAGGTGGGGACGAATGCTGAGGCTGCTGCGGCTGCTGCTGCTGTTGGGGTTGTTGCTGCTGCTGCTGTGGCTGCTGTTGCTGAAGCTGTTGCTGCTGTTGAACAGCATGTTGAGCAGAGTGCTGAGCAGAGTGTTGGGCTGACTGCTGAGCGGAATGCTGAGCCACATGCTGGGACGAGTGCTGAGCCGTGTGCTGGGTCGGATGCGGGGTCGGATGTTGAGCCGGATGCTGACCAGGATGCTGGTTTGCATGCTGACTCGAGTGCTGCTGACCCGGATGCTGGGCCGGATGTTGACTCTGATGTTGACCTGAGTGCTGGCCTGGATGCTGCCCCGGATGTTGACTTGGATGTGGACCTGGGTGTTGACTCGGATGCTGACTTGGATGCTGGCTTGCATGTTGGACCGGGTGCTGGCCAGGGTGTTGGTTAGGGTGTTGGCTAGGATGCTGGCTAGGATGTTGGCTGGGAAGTTGACCGGGATGTTGGCCAGGATGCTGACTTAGGTGCTGGCCTTGGTGTTGGCTAGGGTGCTGCCCCGGATGTTGGCCTGGATGAGGGCCTGCGTGGGGTCCCGCATGGGGTCCCGGATGGGGCCCAGGATGCTGACCGGGATGTTGACCGGGATGCTGACCGGGATGTTGGTTTGGGTGCTGACCGGGATGCTGAGCAGGGTGCGAGCTCGAATGCTGACCCGAGTGCTGACCAGGGTGCTGGCCCGGGTGCTGACCAGGGTGCTGCTGGCCAGTCTGCATCTAGATTGTAGAGAAGACAAAAAAGTAGATTAGCCTCAAGTTTTCCCATAGCAAGTAAAATATTTTCATGAACGAAGTCCGTGCCTATTAGTTCCATGAATATACGGACGCCAACAAATGATGAAGCATCAATGATGCAAAATATGGACTACACCGACACCAATAATGGCGTTCACAGATAGCATTTTCGAGCCCCATTGTTGTCAGTGCCTTGCCAGTCACTGCACTCCGCCAGTTTCTCACGATTATTGGCTTCTGAGCGCTCTGCAGACAGGCAGATGCATGGGATTTGTTCATAAAAAGATTCTACTGCCTGAGGGGAAACTGCATTGCCATCTTCAGAAAATAGTGTAGTAGAACAGGCAAACTAAAAAAGGGACATCTTGGTCAAAATAAGACAACCCAAAAAGCAGATTCTTTTTAGCCCCTCATATTTTGGATGGGCTTTGGAGCATCATGCCATACAATCTTACACTGTTATTCTTGTGGGGTAGAACTTCCTGCCACCTACTCCCCAGTGCACAACTGGCAAGGACTACCAATTAGTAGTAGATGAAGACAATAAAGTATTCTTGTTCTATGTGGCACCCTGGGCTCTAATAGCATTTATTGCTTGGATTTTTTTTTTTTAATTTGTGATTGTTTTTTTTTTTGGTTGCTTGATTGTTGTTTCTCTGATTGCTTGTTTTCTGTTTTTATTGTTTGTTTCCTGGGGGGTTGGCCAGCAGACGCTCACGCGTACGGGCTTTCGCCTATCTGCTCTCGCCTCGCACGCCCCCCAGGACACAGTCTGCTTCTAGTGCTAATAAAGATTATTATTATTATTATTGTTTCTTTTTTTGCCAATCAGAACAATTCTAAGCAGTTTTGCTACACAGTTTTCAGCTCACTTAAAAGCTAGAAAAGTTGCAGGAACCAAAGGATACGCCTGCCTGTCAAAAAAGTTGCATTATCTACAGATTACTTCTGAATCACTCGAAAAAAGTTGACTTTTTTTAATTTGTTCAAAAGTAAAATGAAAAGTGGGCTTTTAGTAGGACACAAAAAAGGAATCTGCAATACTTCATTTCACCAGAATTTGGCAAACAGCGAACACTACGACCTCAAACTAATCAGACCAACATAGCAATGCATGTTGCAGCTCCCAACTAAAAACCAAATTTGATGTTCGTGTTTATACAGCGCAAGGACAGTCTGCCTCCGAGATGTGGCAACACTGGTTTACGCTGGTGACGAGAAATTCAGCCACTGAAATATCACTGCTAGACTGGGGTCTCTAATGTGCACCACACAGTAGTGATACACGACCGCACGCCGGTACAATGCTCATACAGATTGAAACGGGCAGGGGTGGGGATTGAACCAGGGAACCGGGGGGGGGGGGTAACACTTTGCTTAGTGATATACCCGCCGTCCCCCACTGTGCCTTCAAAAAGGCGAACCCGCTGCCGGCAGTGGCTACATGGATGGATGGACAGATGCTGGTGGCTGTACCCTCTATATTAAGCGGTAGTTTGTGCCACCTAGCCTAGAAACCTTTCTGTACCTCTCTTCAAAGCTCTGCAACAAACTTTTGTACCCCGTTAGTCTGCGTAACCAGTATAATCCATTAATTTCATGCACAATTTCATACTTCCCTCAATCTCTACCACCAATCTTGCAACTCCCTCCCTGTAACTACTTTGTAGCAGCGCTGATCACCAAATGTAGCAGACAATAGGCATTGATCGGTGCTGTCGCAACTCCTTTGTTTCTGGGAGCTTGCATATGGGTTGGCGATAACAATCTTTCATGTTTTAAAAAAAAGTTACTTATCTTTAGTTCTAGAAACGAAAAAGACAGGACCAATTGCCAACACATTTTGCATCCTTCACTCGTTATGACACATTTCTTCCCGGATGGCCGACCGCCATATTTTCTTTGTTTGTTCTTCCTTAAAATGGCATTTACCTCTATCGTAAAGGAACCGACCTGGTCTCACCATTTCGAGCAGCAGTTCAGCAGTAAATCTAATTTTATGTATGACTGTTGTTCAAGAGCCGTAAACAACAAAACTGCACGCGTCGTCCCACTCCTTACTGAAAAGAGCTTCATTGACTTCGTCGTTGGGGCACAGTATGGTTAATCCCCGCTCCTGCGACCGTACTGTGCCCCAACGACGAACCCAACCTTTGAAAATCTGCCAGACTGAGCTAAAGTTTCCTCTTTTGGGATTGGTCGTCCCACGTTGGGAGGGGACACCGGCATACCTCGGCAGCTGTCAGCGCCGGAGACGTAGAACATCGTCCTACGGCATATTTCGGCTCCGGCAAAGAAATTTGAGGCCCAAACCGATCCGAAAGTACCTCTCCCCCAATGGATACGCTGTCCGGCACCACGCCGGGATGGGGGAAGACGGCTGTGTGAACAAGGCCTTAGTGTGTACACACGTGGAGACTGGATAGCACGAAGCAGCCCTGCATCATACACAGTAGGCATGTGATAGCTTCATGGATGTTTTACTTGTGGGTGCCACCTTCTGTGGTGACAGTGTAAACGCAATGTTCTCAGAGCCTCTTGGAACGTGGGACGCATTAGACGGAGCGTGCGGAAAACAGAACAATTGGAACGCGACAGCACCGAGCAGAGCCCCGATACCAGCTCGCGGCAAAAAAGAGCCAAATAGTCTAACCACCTCAACCCGTTGTGGCAAAGTGAACACGTCTAACATAGCACCTTCTTTTTTACTGCTTTTATGTCCCCCTCTCGTGGGCTCTTTCTCTGGGGAAGCCTGGAGCGTGCTTGTTTTACGGAGCGGAGAGCCGCTATATGCCTGAACACGTGATGTTTTCACCCCGCTGGGAATAACACGGATGCAATCGAGGAGACAATCGGCTAGCAGTGGTGTCCAATCGGTGAGAAGACGAGCGCCGCATCAGCGTTCAGCTGGCAGACGGCTTATCCACTTCTGTCCTCGCTTGGGGAATGAATATGGTTAGGTGCCAGCCATATAATAGATTCCGTGTTAAAAATTGTTCCTTGGTCCCCTGAAAAGACCCCTCTCCAAAACAAAGGTGAAGTCATACCAAAACTTGCCGAAAGTGGAATAGCATTTAGAGTTAAAGCAGAGAACACTGAAAATTCTTCAACTGATAGCTCAGGCCACTTACAATATCAAAGACATAGGAGATCCAATGACTGATTAGAGCTAGTCTCTGCAAGGTTAATGGTGCTTTTAAACTCATTAAATTCATAGTTACCTTATCCAACAGACTCCATCCCATTACCCCAAGAATTCTCTTTTTTTCTCTTTTTTAAATATGAGTTAGAAATTCAAGATTGCACTAACCTGCTGAGTGCTACCCTGTTGAGCAGCGGAGTGCTGAGACAGCTGATGGCCCTGCCCCTGCTGGTGGCTGGGAGCCATTCCAGCCTGCATCTGCTGTGCTGAATGTGGCTGCTGCTGTTGCTGCTGGATATGCTGGGCTGCTGACTGCTGAGCATGCTGACTCATTGCTGAATGCTGCTGATTGGCTTGAGGATGCTGCATCGACTGCAATAAACAGAAGCACGCAAACAGAATGCCTGCAATTAATAAACAAACAGAGTAAATTAGAAAAAAAAACATGTCTTTGTTACAAAAAGTAAAGGACCTTAAAGAAACTCGGGTACATATGGACCTAGAACATACCAAGTTTCCACAGCAAAGCCTCAAAAGTTCTGTGCTTACTGCCTGATGATGAGGCTGTTGCTGCATCTGCGATGCCATTGGCTGCTGCTGACCAATCATAGCAGAGGGTGGTGGTGGGGGCCCGCCCCCTCTTCCTTGGGGAGAGGCGTACCCCGACATTCCATGACCTCCCATTGGCTGTTGCTGGCCGGATACTGGACCACCTTGGAGAAACCACACAAGGCACGTGTAATTGGTCCCCTTGAAATAGTGCAAAACAGTGGTGGCAATGCGTGTAGTCGCTGTCCAGTCCGAAAACAGGGAAGCCACGTTACATTAAAAAGAAAAAAAAAGAAGGCAAACTGGCCAGCTGCAAGTTTTATTCCTGGTGACATGATTACAGATGACTGGTCCCAATGTTCAGAGGTAGAAGTCTCTCGAAGGAAAGAAACCCCAAAATCAGCAATAACCGGCACATAAACCTCAACTTTTTTACACAGACGACGATACCAGGTGCTTGAAAACATAATCCAAAGCTTGACTGAAGCCTACAGTCAAACTTACCTCAGAATCCAGCCCCCAAGCCACAATTAAAAAAAACATGTTATGCAATAACCAAATCGGCAATAATGGCCACTGTGGTGCAAGGTTAATCAAATTGAACAATTCCCTCAGCAGTCTTCCATGCTGGAAAGCATGGAACTTACCCTTCCCATGGACCAAAAAAACACCCATCCACACACTGGCAGTGTTCTACTTTCCCCGCAGTAAGCCAAAACCAAGACATTTTCATTTCAAACAAAAACATTTTTATTTAAAGTTTAACACTGGCTGGTGATCATATAAAACCATATTCATGCTGCACATGCTAAGTATACATCATGCTCGTGAAGGCAAAATTAGCTGGTGTCATATTTCATGCAACTGTCACTTTTCATGCTCAAGAGGTTATCTAGCAAACCTCCTGCTCCAATGCCGAACTTTCAATTCCACATTGCATTCTCACAAATTAATGAGCCAAAAAAATGGTAATCTACTGCAGGGATGCTCCAATGTAAAATTTGCTCGAATTTAGTTTATACCCCTTTTTCAAGCAAAAACCAACTGGATGGCTGTTTAAATGGCACTGCGAAGTGCTAGGTATCGTGACTTCTGCAAAACTGCCAATTCTGTGCACTCCATCCTCTAAACTTGTTGAAATGGTTTCATGCAAATCAGAAAGCGGCATATCAGTTATACCAGAACTTGCCGCACCTAGTTCTGCCTGTATGCACCTGCACTCAGCAGGAACCAGTTCAAATCTTTTGGTCAGATAAAACAAACTTGTGATTTAAGAGCATTGCAGACAAATTTGGCAAGTAACGCACACGCTTTCAAACATTAAATAACAAAATGACCCTTCAAATTTTAGCTATCAAATGAAGCTAGTACTTGCATGTTTGTATCATCCAATAGGCACAATTAATTGAATTATGCCATGAAATGTCAATGTAGAGGTTGATGAGGTACATAAGCCAACATAGGTGAAATTTATCTATTATGACAAATGTACACTGGAGAAGCCCTTCAGGTTTCAAGTTGAACACGTGCACAAACCGCCATACTTGGACTAAATAATTTATATGGCAAAGGCAAGTTGAGCTTCGAAAACAACCAGAAGGATACAACACGCTCATTTTAGCATAAGAGGGGGTTATGAAAGCATGTGTTAGTATATTTGTGGCTATGGCAATGACCCAAATGCTTAATTAGATGTCACTCGAACATGAAACCAAGCGTGCTAATTGCACAAAAGAAATGCTACAGAAGCATACACTGAACAGTCAGATGCACAGGTAAAATCCAAACCATCATGCATGAATACTTTCAGACAGAAGAGAATCAAAGGCAAGGTAAAAAGAAAATGGGAACAGAAGAAACACTACGTGAGAAATACAATGCCGCTCTTGAAAACATATGGCTGCAATCACAGCTTTTCATTACACAGAGAATTTCCACTAAACATTTCAAGGCAACAACAAAGTTCAAAGAGAATTGGTGCACATTTCAAATTCAGCTATCCGTTAGAGTAAGTGAAAATTTACAACTATAGTAGCAAGTGCTGTCCATAGACTATTGAAGAACAAGTGGCAGAAAGAAATTAAACATAATCCACCATATTATAAGAATGTATGAAACATACACAAAGCAGTTATCTCCTCAAGGTCAATTAAAAGAAAATTTTGTGATAATTAAAAATAAATATAATGAGAAAAGGAGAGTGATTCATAATATAGCGTAACAATAAAAGTTAAATACCCAGCCTGCAATTTTTCCTTCAGGCTTCCACCATTCCTCCCTCGCACGGTTGCCACATCAAAGAACACACTGACTTGTTGCATCAGAGTCCATTACGCATTACCTTGCTGTCTCAAGTCACACAAAGAAAGTTTCTTGCCTTTCCCATTTGACACAAAGAGAGAAAGAAAAATTATTTTCAGACCCACTGAAAAATATTTTGCATGTTAGTCTTCAAAACTAAAACATATTTAGGGTAGTTCCTTTGTTTCCACTAAAACTAGGGGGCAGACTGCACTCACCCGCAGAGAGCTAAAATATAACCCGTTGCTACAACTCTACTCATTTGTTCAACTCGGAACCAGGGTTGACGGCTTTCCCGGAAGGGCCCTCAAACTTCAATCACCTTTGCATTTTCATTTACCGTTAAAGGAGCTGTGCAACAATTTCAGGGCTTTGCTTAAATAATTGTGGAAGTTGATGCCTGACACTTCTGCAGTGAACTACAGAAAACAGATTTTGCCTGGATACCCTAGTTTTTACTTAAAAAAATGAAAAAGATCCAGGTTTTTGCCGCCTCTCAACTCGTGCATCGTCTTCCGGGTCACGTGCACAGTGACGTCACTAGAGTAGGCGCGGAGTTCCGGAAAAGTTCTCTCTTTAGAGCCATCAGCGAGCAGCGAGAACTCATCCGCTGCCGACCGCGTGACCACCCGTCCTTGCCAGTGTGGCGCTGTCCCCCTCCCCCTCCGGCTTCTGGCGGCTGTTCGCGGTTTTGTGGACCTAGGATAGATGGCGCCACTAAAACTCCGTATAATAAAAGTTTTGTCGATGATACCAGGGTGTTGACGCATTTATATATATGTTGGAACGACAAGATTTGTAAAAAGAGTTACCTTTTATCGAGCAGGTATTCGCACAACTTGCAATCTTTCTTACAACGACCCAAGTGACGTCACGCCGCTTGTTTCTCATGGCCGCCGCTCGTGGCTGCAGGTCGGGAAATATTCCAAGTTTTGCCTCGCTATTACGCGGCGGAATCGCAACATTGCGATGAAAAGAGGTGTGTTTTCTGCCATTTGTGACACAGTGAACAATATCAAAAGCAGAAAATGCCAATTCCTTCAACGTTAAAATCGTTGCACAGCTCCTTTAAACTCTGCACAACTCTCAAGAGAGCTGACCTCTGTACCACTTTTCATTCGAGCTGACTGGGGCCACTCCTCTGCCTGCGTATCTGGCCGACGGCCAACTTTTAGAAGCTCCGTAATCTATTTGCATGTAACTCCGTAGAAAGCATATACATAAAACTATGGCAACTTTAGCCCATCATGAAGCTGAAACTTTGCTTAGTTTTTCTTTCCCAGTTCTTAATGGCCTGCACTCTGAAGAAATTAGGATAACCAAACCAACCACATATAGTTCTCGCAGTAAATGACAACTTTAAACATTAAAAGTATGCAAACAATAATGATGGGCGTAGTTAACTCAGTGTTCTGAAGCGAATACTCAAATTAAAAACTTTACCGAAGTAATAGACGCAAGGAAAATACAATTAAGACCAGATATTTTATGAGAGGGAGTCAATTGATAAAAGTCAGATGAAGACCATGGTTACAGAACAAGAGATGGCCACCCCCTCTTGTTGTCTTCTGCTCGTGCAAAATGCATTGCCGTTAATATATTCTAGTATGCTACATGATACTAAAGAGGACTGCAGTGTTTTCTGAATAACAAAGAGCGAGTGGAGTTGCCCTTTAAGAAAGAGTGAACCTGACTCCTTTTGCTGCCCATTCCACGTTCTAGTACAAAGATTAACAGCTGAAGTACAGCAAGTCAAAAACGGTAAAAGAAGAGCGTGCTTACTATGCCGCACATCACCCAAACCTAGAGAGTGAAAATTCCAATTGCGACATACGTCACAAGCAACTTAAACTAAAGACATGTTTTACGAGCGGTAGATTCAGTGTTCAAGAGACCCTAAAAGTTTAAGCCTGTTAAAACAAAAGTGCCATAAAGAACACCCTCAACTGTGAAGAAAAAAAATACAAACGAAAACACCACACCTAGTATAAAAAATTTCAATAACATTTGTTTCTGGGCATTTGTTTATGCATGCTGCAATGGTTGATTGCATGGTTCAACTTCATTCACAGCCTGTAGGTGGAGTATATCCTATCTATAGTTATTATAGCGAGGTACAGTGCAAAAGTCAGACATTCTACAAAATGATTACAACACCAACAAGCACACTGGGTTTGTAGTTACACATGCTGCACATGACGACATCTACAGGAATTTCTGAAAGCAAAAACAAACGTCATTTTGAATGTGCTTTCGTGACTTCATTTTTAATTTTAGTCTTTAAATTCTTCCTACACACAGGGCGAGCACGTGCAGCATATGTTCCAGTGGCACTAAAAGAGATCAGCACACGTGATCAATGGCCAGAATGGTTAAAACGCCACGCCCAGCACTGCGTTGTCACAAATATACCAAGTGTGGTAGGCCATTCCCATCTTTGATATTGTCATTTATGGGGCTTGCCAGCTCAATGTCTTAAAAACCACCGACGACAGTAAAACAGTGAATAAAAATATATCACTGCTCTCAACGAGCAAGCGAAAAGAGGCCCCATGTGCACAGTCACACTTGGATGGCGAAAGCCTGAGGCGGGGCAGCAGCATTACGAAGGAACGCTTTGAGAACGACTGCTGTCTGTCCACCTCTCCTCTAATACACGGATGGCACCCTCCAGGCAATCTCGTTCCTGCTGTGTTGGTGCGGCTACAACACCACGTGCCGCCCTTTCATTAGCCCGGCAATCGCTCATTTGTGCTAATCTCTTTTAGTGTTAAATGTACCTACAAATGCAGCATGCTCCTTTGTGGTCCAATCATTTCATGAAAAAGGTGCCATGAATATGAAGACACACTGCTTAAAAGGCACAGGCCAGGGCAAGCATATTAATGCAGAAGAAAGGAATCACCTAGTTGTAACTAACATCATGTGATGTTCACCGCTGTTGAAACCAAACACAAAACAATCGGCCAAAGCCAGGGCAATATCCAAGAGCTCTATTACCCTGAGATGGCTGACAAGTTTGGAATTTACTTTTTCCTACACCTGCAAAAGGTTATTGGTCATTACAATGTCCCATAACATAAATTGTCTATAACAGTGTATTTTATCTGTTTTGTCACTGTCATAGTAAACGCTCACAAACTGCAAAAAGGGTTGAAAGCTGGGCTAGATGGCACTGATCCATAACATGAAAAAAAATGTGTGAAACATAAGGTGTTTTTATTTGTCCTAACGTTTTGAATGCTTTTCTAAAGTGTTTTTTTTTTTGTTTTGTTTTTTTAGGTTATTCTGTCTACTGACCCTAGCAGCGTTAAAGGGCTACTCCACCGATTTTTTTATTGTCTCCGATTTGCTTGAAATTTTGCTAAACTAACCAACAAACATCGCGAAAATAGTATCCCGAATATTAGGTCAAAATATTGTTTTTTCGCAAAGTTATTGAATTTACAGTTTTTGTCCTCACCGTGCTTTTCAAGCTCGAAATCTCTACTGGCAACAATGAAAAAGTGACGTCAGTGGAAGGCAGGGGTTCACTCTTTGGGCTGTAGATTTTGTTTTAAACTGATTCGAAGCAGTTTCATGGTGTCAAATGAATGCCTGGGAAGCTCGCTGCAGTACCCGCGCTCCAGCACGGAACAAATGATTGGCATATTCTATATTTTGGCTGCTTGCTCGACTGGCAAGCCTGCCTGCCACTGACGTCACGGCCCTGAAAAGCGCGCGTATATTTGAATGTTGGTTTTTGCATCATTTTCATTTGCCGATTTCGCAATAACTATTATGAATTTCGGGATTCTAAATAGCATACCAGAAAGGGTAAAGGCCGGGGAGTCGGAAAATATAGTTAGTTGAGGTAGCTCAAAAAATCGGAGGAGTACCCCTTTAAGTGCTCGGGTACATAAATTAAAATAACTTTTACAAAAAGTAATGTTTAGCTTTAGTACTTGTATCCTTTGTTTGTTCAAGGATTTCTGACATATCCTATGAGCAGAATAACAATCCAGAATAACTATAAGGTTGAACCATCTCTCAGATATCAGTGTTGATACCATGTCATTGAAAAGCTAAACAAGGTTGCAGGTAGTGAGGCATTGCTTATACAGATCTTAAAGACAAGTTATAGTTTGACAAGCAAGCCATGGAGCAGTGAAGTGAAGTAACGTGGTATCGCGGCTAGAACACCCAGTGCAATGCTGTTTGCAAGGGGACTTCCATACCTTAATATAAGCTAGTGTCCAGCCTACTAAATTGTGCAAATTGATATTGTGTATATGTAGGCTAACAGGTTAAAGGTTAGCAGTAATGCTTTGGACAAGCATTTGCAAAAAGAAAATGATAAAATGTTTACACTAACATGTCGCACTGCACAAGAGCTCAAAGCAATCTAAGTCAGTGAAAAGGTGTTTCGGCATTCTTAAAGGGGCACTAAAGTGCTTTTTGAGATCCTTGTTTTTTGTTGTCATAATTCATTCTATGAGCTTTAAGCATCCTAAAAAGCTTGAAATTACATTCACGCGCTGCCGATCTGCGTATTAAAAAAGTGATCGAAGTTCCTGACACTTACCGCTGGCGCAAAACAACAGATGGCGCTACCGAACCTTGCTGAATAACATTTGCCTTGCTGAATAACCTTGCTGAATAACAATTGCCAAAGAAAGCATTTATGACAATTCTAGGGGAAGCTCATTGCTGTTTGAGGCGAGGACGGGTGTTCTGCGAACCAGAACATACAAAGTGAAGTACCAGGAAATTGATACAGTGTGCACTGCTTGTGGAGAGGACGAGACGGCTGAGCACTTGATACTCTACTGTAAAGGGCACCCTATGCCTACCGAAGACAACATAGATTTAATAAAGTCATTGGGTTTTAGAGACAGCGAAGGGAGAGTGGATTTCAAGACTGTAGAGATTACCAAGCAAAGATTAAGTGAATGGTGGCAGAAATCGAGAGAAAACTAGGCATTTTCTTATTCACTGATGGCAAGGGGGTTTCATAGCCTCACTTTCTTTGCACTGCGGAGTGAATATAGATTTCACATTTAAATATTCTAAGCTTAAATGGTAAAACAAAATGGCTAGGTGGCGTAAGCTACCGCCCGATCCAAAAGGCTCAGCCGTATTCATCCATCCATCCATCCGAATATGGTCGAACCACTGACGACACTTGTCAGCCACTCACGAGCAACGAGTTCCCACGTGGACGAGCGTCGTTCAACCATATTCAGCAAGGTTCAGTAGCACCATCTGTCGTTCTGCGTCAACAGTAAGTGTCGGGAACTTTGATCAATTTTTTAATGTGCGAATCAGCTGCGCATGAATGTAATTTCTCGTTTTTTAGGATGCTTAGAGCTCGTAGACTGAGTTATGACCATTATATGAAGATCTAAAAAAGCAGTTTAGTGCCCCTTCAAAGCAAACATAGCCTTGATCTTGGTCAAAGAAATTTGACCAGGACCATTTGGGACCCCTAACAAAAAGCTTAAACCTCTTAAAATCGTCAAAATTTGATCTAGAATGTAAAATCTGGAATGAATCTTTGGAAGTGCCCATTGCCACAGAGGAATCAAGGGCATCAGAGCAACCACCAGGGCAGACAGGGCCATAAAGCATTCCGAAATTGCCAGACAAAAATCTAGATACAATCAACAAAATTTTATACTCGGGTTCAAATGAGAATGAGTACTATATTAACATTGATGTGACAGACCTAACAGATCTAACAGCAGAAAAGTGTCAAGCATTTTGATACTGGGAGATCTTGGAAATCGCTACAAAAACGAAAAGACTCGTAAAATGCAGCCGATGAATTAAGGTGCATGAAACAAAACTATTTGTATTGAAAACCATGAAGTCCAGACACCTGAAGATTAAGTCAAGCTATCTTTGATGAAAGTCACAGGAATTCAAAATACATCACAAAAATGAGGCCCCACAGACATTCTTGAAGACAATGAACATTGAATAAAGTGCTGAAACAGAAGTTAGCAGAGATACTGTAAAGCCTATTGCTTTTGCTCAGAGAAACTGTTATATACAAAACATACCTCATCAACGGATTCACTCCAATAAGTTCTGTGTTTAGAAGTAATTTCCTATTTCATACATAAAAATTATTAAGAGGTGCTAATGCTGCTTCATAAACAGCAATCCTAAAAGATTTGATCTAAAGAAATAAAAGCAGTGAACGGTCACAAGACCATGAAAACAAAACTTGCTACAAACAAACGAGTCATAAAAACAATAATGGAGGAGTGTGTTTCCTTCAGTACTCAAGCTCACAATAAATTCATAGAGCTATGACCACATTCCAAATAGTCAGAACATGTTTATAAAACTAGTAATGTTATAAAAATATAAAACAACTAAAAACTTCATCGAACCTACCTTTCCTAAAACTACCTCCAAAATTAGTTGACTAATTTGACTAGAAATATGTAAATTATTTCTAGGATGCAGCATCCATTTATCTATATTAAAAAAAAAAAAAGCGGCACATTTTATGGTTGAGTTAGAAATGCACGGTTCACTACAGCATTATTTGATTGCTCGCCGATTCAATGATGTGCTAAACCGAGTGACTCTATAATAATAAGAACACCAATCTAATGGATAACAAACTATTTAGACGAAGAGACAAGTACAAGCTCTCAAGATAACTCTCGGCATGCAAAGCTGGTAGCCTCCATAGATTCTTAGAACGGCAAAAAAAAAAATTTAAACACTGATAGCACGTAGTCTCCCATCCCAGCCACGAAGCCAACGACAAATCTCCCGGCAGCTTGTCGGAAGGTAGGGTACAGCATTGAGTTCACGTTGCCGACCTCCAAAAGAGAAAACCTCCGAAAGTGGCCACGGCACGAATGCCGCCCAGGTACTCCAGTCCCAAACTACCCGACTGTCCGGCCGCTGTCCAGCCAAGGGGCGCATTGACTGCCCGGCACACTGCCAAGAGTGCGCGCGGATGGATGCTTGGGAGAGAGTCCATGGCAAAGCCCACCCGGCAGGCGCCTCCCCTCCCCCAAGGGCTCAGGGCACGAAGGCACTTGCAGGGGGGAACAGTCTTGGGTTACCTGCGGCCGACTGCTGACCCGGCTGGGGCATGCCTCCTCCATAGCCCTGCTGGCCGGGCATCATCCCAGAGGCAGGGTTCGGGCTCCCGTCCGACGGTGCTCCTCCAGACCCGGGACCACACGGTTGCGGAGGTGGCTGCCGAGACCAAGGTTCTGAGTCAACAGCCGTAGACGTGTCCGACAGAGCCCAGCATACGTCCGGTCGTACCAAGCCCCTTTGCACAACTATAACGACTTCTGTCCCTAACTGACAATTTCAAAGGCACTTTCATGTGGGGGAGCGATGCAGAGTGGCTGTAACAAGCCCCAGAAAACGTGGCCAGAGTTTAAAAAAAATTATTCGAACAGGCAGCTCTTCAGGTTTAAAAGGAGATAAGCAAATTGCTACGACTCACCAATAGCCAGGGTCACAATAATAGCCTGCATTGCTTCGTTGTAGCCCTAGCGAACTGAGATAGAGAGAAATTAAATTGACTCGACTTGGGCTAATCTAATTAACTTCGTTCTTGAGATGATGGGGTGGCCAAGAATCCCAGCAATGGCATCTGCGCTGCTCTAACTATGCATCGCACTACGGTCACTGACAAGGAAAGAATGGCAGGGCCTACCCAGGTGCACACACTAACGCTGCCTTTCAAGCTAGGTTGTTGCACTCCACAATCAATACAAGTACATAATCTCCTACAAAAAAAAAAAAAAAAAACGGCAGAAACATAACTGATGTTCCACTTGCTCCATTCAATGTGCCTGGCCACACCCCATTTCAATGACAGAAGCCTTCTACCAGTAGAGTTGGCCCCCATGTTACTTTCACTTGAAATGTTAAAAAGTGCAGGGCAGGCAATCAGACCACTAAATTAATGTATATATATTGTGGTTGCTTTTATAAGACACATACAACATAAAGGACAGGAACATGTTTCACCACTATTCATTGTTCACGTCGTTGCGATGAGCAAGCGGTAGTGGCGTGCTACAGCGATCGCATTCGAAAACTACATGAAAGCAGTGTACCGAAATTCTTAATTAATTTGGTTTTACAATGTTCGTAAGTTTAATGTTGTAGTAGATTTAACAGGACCTATTTACAGAACAAGTGGTGCCACATGCGGAATGTGAAAAGGCAGAAAGCTAATCATCAAGCGAACGGCAGGGCCTATACACGAACTCAACTCTCCTATGTCACGCCGCGGTGGTGGCACGTCGGGCGCACTTCCAGTCTGGGGTGGTGGGCAGAAGACGCGGTGCGAGACATGCATTCCTGCATTCTTTTGGAAGAAACCAGACAAAAAACCTGCCTTCTCGTCAAAATGCTGCGACGGGGCTGTACCAAGAAAGTCTGGAAAGGTTTGAAGATCAGTTTTCATGTGTTTCTGCACCCTCCGTTCGTCCGAGAAAGTGGATAGTAGCCGTGAAAAAAGGGGCAAACCAAACGCTGTCGAACTACGATTGCTTCTGCGGGCAACACTTTGTGCTCGCCAGAGGTATAGTTGTTGTGTTCCAACATGAACGAGAGAAAACCGCCAATTTGTCTGGACCACCCGCGGGTTCAGAGTGTTCAAATTCACACGGCCGCCTGATCATTCGAACTTTCATCTGCTCTTTCGAATTTGTCTGCTTTTTGTCGTCTGTTCATTCAAACAAAAGCGGCCCGTAGACCAAACTTTGACCCGGTGATTGCAATAAGAAATAATTGCAGGCCTAAAAAGACTTAAGTTGGCTCGGTGTAAACAGTAGATACAAGATGTTGATCATTGGTACCAGTGGCCTTCCCCGACTTGTTACGCTTGGTCTGTTCCCGCTTCCGATTTTCAGTATCGACATCGATCGTCGCCGCTACCTTCTACACTTTTGCAGCACGAGCAACGTTGCGACCGAAAATAGCTAGAAGAATCTCATTATGGTTTTGGAGTCCATTCTGCAGCGTTCATGGGAACGAATCGCCGCACGTCAAATTATTTGCGCGAAGTTTAGCAGTGTAACGAACCTTGATAATTTTGCTCAGGCGATTAAAGTGGTAAGACATTGCTATGAGGACGTAGAATCGACAATTAGGTACAACGCAAAAAATAGTATGCACCTTACACAGATGCCGACAATGTGACATTCCAATGGTTTGTTGACGCGGGACACGGTGCTTCTTGCCCGCACTCCATTGCGCATCTGTTCGAACTGTCGTCTGCTCTTTCAAACTTGTCTGCTTTTTGTCGTCAGCTCGTTCAAACGACAGCAGCCCATAAACCAAACGTTGACCTGGTAATTGCGATAAGAAGTAAGTGCAGGCCTCAAAACACTTTTGAAGGTTGGTTGGGGTAAGTAGGCTAAGTGTAAACAGTAGATACAATAAGATGTTGATCTTTGTTACCAGTGAACGTCACCGACTTTTAATGCCCGATTCTACTTGTGGTTTTCAGTATCGACGTCCACCATCTCAGCTACGGTCCACGCTTTTGCAGCCCGAGCGACGTCGCGACTGAAAATAGCGAGATGAATCTCATCGTGGGAGTCAGGTTTTGGCGCCCATTCTGCGGCGTCCACATGAAATGAATCGCCACACGTCACATTATTCACGCAAAGTTTTGCGGTGTAACGAGCCTCGTTAATTTTGCTGAAGCCGCTCAAGTAGTCAGACATTGTTAGGAGGACGTAGAATCAACAATTCCAATGCGAAAAAGAGCACGGGGACTCACACCGACGCCGACAACAACGCAATTCAATGGTTTGTTTATAGGCGACGGCTTCTTGCCCACCGTCCACCGCGCATGCGCGGCGCCAATGGCGTCCGCTAGGGGTGCTCCGGTTTGTTTGTAAACACGAGTTGGTATACACCTTTCCAAAAAACGCTCCTAGACAGCCGCCATGTTGCTGATGCGGCTGGTGCGACTCTAGCGCCCTCTATCAGCTAGAAATTTTCTGCCACTTTCTTGGACTGTGAAGACCCGCTCAGCACGGTTCTCTACCTACTTTTTCGCGGTTTTGCATTAGACGTTTTCTTGCCCCTCTTGGAAGTTTCCACTTAATTTTTTGTATGCGTGCTGCCTACCCTTTCTGTGTTACCTTCCATTATGGGAAATAAGGCTCGTAAGTGCCTGCCATTCAAGCTTTTCTGCTGGACATTCATGGGAAACGAAAAAGGTGAAGGACGTCGAACGACCCTCGACGCGATTTTCCGAACATTATTCTCCCCCCTCCCAGAGATAATCCGCGTCGAAACCTCAGGCATCTCCGAAAATACTTGTCCGGGTTGGGGTGGGAAATGGGTCAGTCACGTTCATTCTTTTGCCTTGGTGCTGTTGTGAAAAAAGGAAGCTCTCCCCAAAACGTGCCCCAAAACGAAGTCATCTTGGATTCCGTCCGATCGTCAAGATGTGACTGTCGTCGACTGTGACTGTGTTATTTGAGATCTTACTCAAATAAATTCTTTTCAGATAACGCTGCATTGTGTGGTACGTACAATATATTGTTCGAATGTTAACACTTTCCAAATTGTATATCCGTGTCCTGTCCATCGGTAAACACGTTATTTGTGAGCGCGAAAAATGCATGCCTTTCGGCTCTCTTCTGTTGCAATTTATTTTTGATAGCTAAGTGCTTCGTCATTTGACATGCGGCGAATCGTGTGGTGCCGTCAAAACTTATCGTGAAAGAAAACACAAAAAAAACTAGAACTACACAACCCAGTCGCATTTGTTCTGTCGCGCGCGCGCACCCAACAAAAATAGATTATAGGTTTTTTACAGCTTTTCTTTTTTTTTTTTTTTTTAAATGTGGTACAATGTTTTCTCAGCGACCTCGGGAAAATACATGCACCATGAAATACAAAATACAGCGGGAAAAGACGAGAATTTAGCCGTAAGCACTGTTTGAAACTGCGCCTACGCAGGCCGCGCCGATCGAAATCACAGTCCACTCGATTAGGGTTAGCAGGGACGCCGGTGAGAGTCTAGCCTCAAACCCAGTGACTGGGCTCTAAAACGGTTAGCTGCCCCTGGGGTCGAGCGTTTCTTGAAAAGGTGTATAAAAGCTCCTCCCTTCTGTTCTCATCCTGTCAGTGATTATAGCTTTATTATGGGGTGGTTTCATTATAAATTGACCACACATGTCAGATTTGCCTAAAAACAATTATATACTATAGCACCATTTCCACAACGAAAACCACACTTTTTATATTTTTTTAGAAAAATTATTCCTCTCCACAAACATTCCGAAGTGGAGCAAGTTGAAATGCTATGTTTAGGCTGCTTGATTTTTGTACCCGGTTCTGTCAGTTGTTAAAGATAGGTAAGATGAACTCAGTAATTTTTCTTGTAAATGTATGACGCATGGCCTATTTTTTTTTCCTTTAAACTAAACTGCTTTGGCAAATTTCATGCCACGAATAAAAATGCCAAAGATTGCGTGACATATTTGGAGCCTTGCATGTTAGGATTCATAATACATTTTTCTTATTAAATACTATATTAAAAAGGGGTATTTTTTATTTCTTCCTTATTTTTTTTCTATTGTTCCCAATAATGTTAATTTTTCGTGGGCATAATCATAGTTCTCCCTTTTTTGGTTGCATTTCCTGTAGAACTGCTTAAGCATAGATACATGCACCTCTGCAAAAGGGTAGTTTCAAAAGTTGGCTTTGCTGCAAGGTTTTTAGCGTTTAAATAAATGTTAAGGGACATGAGGGTCGGAAGTGTTTGGCAGGTGAAGGGGCGACGGAAAGCAGCGGTGGAGAGGGGGGAGGGAAGAGTCGTGTGGACGTGCCCCCATTAGGAAAAAAATGTCTGCCCCTACCTCTCCGCTGTTCCAACGCCACTAACTAAACATGTTTTCTTACACTTTTTTTTTTTTTTTGGGGGGGGGGGGGGGAAATTTTAATTAGGACATTTAGTCAAGGAGCTTATGTTTTTTTTTAAATCTTATTTAGTATATACGTACCATAAAAATCCATAGGAAAATCCCCTAAAACGATGAGATAAATTGTGAAAACATGAGGTGGGCTATCTTTGGGGATGAGAGAGCAGAACTGTATAAAAAATTAATTATAAAATCACGGGCATTCGCTACGAATGCGACATGGGAACTGATACCGCAAATCGCGGACACAGCAGATTCGCGTTTAACAAAGCGGTAAACATACGGGAATTCCCTACAAACCCCTGGTGCCACTACAAAGCTGCCGGCTGCCTATATAATCGGAGCAACAACTTCAGTTCGAAAGCTGCAACTACAACACTCGCGCCCAGCTCCGCAACACATTACAAGTGGCGTGGCGTTCACGGTTGAGCAAGATGTAGCCAATGAAAGAGCGTAGGAAACATGACTATGTACAACTTCATCACGACAACAAAAGATGCGCTTCCAGTAGTATATTTCTAATTGAATTAGCAAAATTATGTTCTGCTCATTTGGTATATGCTGCCTGGCATATACAGGGCTAAGCATTTTAGGTCAAACACGGTTTTGCCCAGCCAGTAGGCAACTCAACTCTATTCAAGCTCAAAAGGCCAGGTAGCTTACTGTGTTACAGTCTAAGCTCATTATAACAGACCTGGTTACAACAGACATTTAGATATAACATACCGATTTGTGAAGTTTGGTTGGTTTCCCTCTATGCACCATTAACTCAACTTCATATCTGCATACAACATGCTCCTTTTACAACAGACCAAAATCTTGGTCAAAATCAAGGTCTGTTAGAACGGGCTTAGATTGTATACAGATGCAGAAGGTGAAGCTGTGTCTACTATTTATTTCAGGCATGTAGCAGCAGAAACAAACCAAGGTACAAGTAGTTTAAGCCACTTCAGATACACAAATGCTTGGACAGAATCAAGTCCGTCTCAAGGCTGATTGTGGGGTTGGTGCCATGCAATGTATGCAGAAAAGCCAATATTCCAGTTCGTGTACTGCCCTGAAAGATTAGAAGTGGACAAGAGGCCCCTTCAGAAAACGGACAACTTAAAAACCACTAAAGTGATCTTTCAGGACCTGGTTTTATTGTCATAACTCAATCTAAGACCTCTAAGCATCCTAAAAAACCTGAAAATACATTCATGCGCGGCCGATTTACGTATCAAAAAGTGATCAAAGTTTCCGACACTTACCATTGAAGCAGAACGACAGATGGCACTACCGAACCTTGCTGAATCTGGTCGAACGACGGTCGTCCCCGCGAGAACCTAATGCTCGCGAATGGCTGAGAAGCGCTGTCCGTCCGACCATATTCAGCAAGGTTCGGTAGTGCCATCTGTCGTTCTACGTCAATGGTAAGTGTCAGGAACTTTGATCACTTAATATGTAAATTGGCACCGCATGAATATAATTTCGGGCATTTAGGATGCTTAGAGCTCATAGATGGAGATATGACCATAAAATGAGGATTTCAAAAAGCACTTTAGTGCCCCCTTAATGCAGCGAAACCCGTTTAGAACGAACCCACGTACAGCAAATTATTGTCGATATCGAACTCACGGAAAATTTAATTAAAAATGAATGTAAAAAGTACTTTTTATAAAGAACAACGTATTGGCTATATCAAACTTTTCCCCCCCGGGGAGGATTCCGAAAACGCGCAAACAATCCTTTTCTAGCTTGTCCCTCCCCCTCCCCCTCCCCCTCCCCCTCCCCCCCCAAAAAAAAGTAGGAAAGAAAGAAAATTTCAAAAGCTCAAGTTTCAAACAAAATTGAACGAAGCGAAGCGATTCAGAAGAGGAGAAAGCTAAAAAATACACTCTGCACACACGCACAAAAAAAAAAAAGCTTTTCATCCCGAAGCGTTTGCTCACGGAGAGAGGCGATTCAGGAGGGGAGATAAGCTAAAAAAACAAATTCTGCAGACATGCAAAAAAAAAGAGAATCTTTACAGCGCATTGTTACAAGGCGGAGGTGAAGAGATGAGAAAGAAAGAGAAGCTCTCGCCTTACAACGAACGCATCGTGGAAGTTCGTTGTACATGGCTTTTGCTATATCGAACTACTTGCTATATTGAACTGATCGTAGCATTTCCTGCTGTTCGTTATAAACGGGTTTGACTGTAGTGATAATACTGATTATGATTATCATTATTATTCTGCAAAAGCAATATGTGTCCTTTAGTGTTTACTTGAAATGAAAACAAAGTTTAGTCTAGAAAAGCTTTTAGTCCTGTCAGTTTACAATAAGAGATTCAATAGACCCTTTACGGAATTCAGTCTGGCCCCTTTGATCACCATCATCATCTGAAAAATGGCACATGTGCTATACTAATGGAGGCCTTCTGTTTACTCGTGAAGAAAGAAGTTGAAGATGCTCCTAACCAGATGATTCGAGGCCTATACATTCTACACGTTAGCGCGTCGTGAAGCAGGAATTGGATGCAAGAGCTGCGTAAGCGTTCATTTCTAACTCGAGCCCAGTCAAAATGTTAATAGCACAAACTCGCCTTCAAAGCCCCTTGATATATCTTTTCAAGGCGTCTATGTGGGTTGGCGCTTCGTTCTGACTCGTTGCATATTTTCGCCATCGACACTGATAGAGATGGAAAAAGAACTGCACAGTGAAGCACCTATTCTCATTTACCGTTGACTAGTGAAAGTGACTGTGCCCCATAAAACACTGCAGATCACAGATTCATTGCCGCCATTAGTATGGTCAAACTTAAACTGCCATTTGAGTAACCAGATGGCACTGAATTCCAGAAAGGGTCTATTAGTTTGAAATAAAACCCAGTTTCTCTTATTAAAACAAAGAATCCTACCGTAAAGTTCTGAGAGAACAACCGCCCCCGAGAGATTGCCCATCCCGTTTTTCTGGCCGAATATCTGCAACATAAAAATTCCGAAACATCGCCCCCCCCCCCCCCCCCCCCCCCGATTCCCCTCGGACATCACGCAACGTCCGACAAGAATCGCATCAACCGCGCAATTTGCTGTACCGGCACGTCTGACAAGCGAGTTTATTGCGGGTTCTTGCAATTTTGTGCGCGATCTACGCACGCGATATTGGTTCCTGTAACATCCGAGTTGTTCCGACGTGTATGTTGCACTGTGAAATGCGAATCTGCCGCGTCCGCAGTCTGTGGTATCCGTTCCCGTGACATAGTTTTTAGCGGATTCCCGCGTTTTTGTCCGCGATCTGCATGAGCAACCTCGATTCCACGCAAGTTGGTCCCGCGTGTATATCGCATCGTAACATATGATTCTGCTGCATTCGCAATCTGCAGTATTTAAGAGTTTGTAGTCGATTCCTGCCTTTTTGTCCACGATCTGCGCGCGCGATATTGGTACCTGTGACAGCCAAGTTCGTAGCAGGTTCTCGCGTGTTTATTGCACCATGAAACTTGCATCTGCTGCATCCGCAATTTGCAGTATTCGTTGCCGTGAAATGCAAGTTCTCGGCGGATTTCCGCAGGTCCTTAGCACCGTAAAACGCAAATCTGCTGCGTCCGCAACCTGCGGTATCCTTTCCCGCATCATGTGGTTTGTAGCCGGTTTTTGATAAAGTTTTGCTGTGGCGTCCCCAAAGATAGCCCACCCCCTTTTTTGCACCATTTATCTCTTCATTTTGGGTAGACATTCTTTCAGAACTTGACAGTAGCTTTTTCATTGCTATAAAAATAAAAAAACATTCAACCCCGTTTATGAACTAGGCATAAAAGTCATTTGTTCATATCTTTGGCCAGTTTGGCTATTGCATATTTAAGAAAATGGGCCCTGCAACAAAACGATTTTCCCCAGTGTGAAACCCTTCAAACCCTTACAAAATGCGTACCTTCTTGGTCAAAAGAAGACCAGAGTTTAGGTTTGAAATCATGTATTTACTAATAGGCAATGCATCGGCACCAACCCCATCAAGCTACGAAGACAGCAACAGCACTTAACAAGCAGCCTCACCATTGATTGTTTAAAACAGCACATTGTGCAGCCAACTGTCAACCTAGCAAATGCAGCCACAACCCACCACCAGCTTTAAGCAGGACACAAGACTGACAGCGACCCAAGAGTTTAAATGCCTCCTTGCTTTCTGTAATCCATATCAGCAAGGGATGCTTACTACTGGATGTTTTGTGTCAGATTTTTTGTATCCGGGTGGCCATCTTTCCTCCTGGGAACTCTGTAGACAAAGAAAGCTCTGTAGGGCATCTGCCTGTCCGAGATAAGCCGAGGGTCTGTTACACGGCTAGTGAAAACTTGTCACTCGCGACAGCCGCTGCCTTTAAGGTCAATCTGCCCTCACAAGCGCCAAGCTCTCGCAGGCCACGTGACAGACCCTCAAGGATGGGAAGTGTTGTTTGTGAAGCGTCATCACTAGCGAAGCTACTTACAAGGGACGCTTGAACCACAGGACCTGCATCTGCCACAGACGCCAAGTAGACTAGATTCCTGTGCAGGATTTGTTGGTACCTGAAATGGGGCATATGCAAAGCATCGACACTGTCATAGCAGTGCTACTGCAGAATAACACAAAAAAAAAAATCCACTGCAAACCCAACCAGCCATTTATAATGAATGAAGTGGTTATGCTTATGCCTGACCGGAGAAACAGGTGAATATTTTTCCTCCAAACGAAAAAAACTTTATTTTTTATAAAAAGAGCTGAAGGATCAGTCCAGCCTGCTCAAAAGACAGCATAAATCTGTTTTTTTTTTGTCTTTACAAGCTGCAATTTTTCGCAAAGACACAAAGAGCTTCTTAACGCCAAATGCTGCATTAAGCTCCTTTATCTTTTTTGCAAAAGAAAAAACATTGTTTTAGGCTACTGATGGATTTTCCTTGATGAAATCACCACACTGTGTGTACGCCAGTCACCCTGGCTTTCCTCAACCACACCTGATTCGTCCAAACTAACACGTTGCCAGTCCTCGAAACCATTGTTCGATTCTGACAAAGATGGCCCACATCCACAGAAGAGTATGAATCTTTATTTTGATGTTCTAACTCAAATCATCTTCCATGCTTAAAATTTAAAAAAGAAAAAAAAAGGTTCTACAGGGCACAGCAAGAATCCCAGAGCAGTAAGAATCCCAGATGGGGTACTCCTGGCATGACAAGTGCTTGGGAGCGAGGTTGAAACGAACCCGCGGCAATTTCGTGCAGAGGTTGGTTAATGGTACTGATGAGTCGCCCATCCACAGTTTACTTCACACATCAGACTGAGTGCCAGGCTCAGGGCCATAGGGTCAGTGCAAGACGACTCATAGTTTTGGGCTTCGTTCATAGAAAAAGGAATCGAAATAAAAAGGAAGCAATTCAAACAGAAAGTCAACAGACCTTACTGGAAACTCCCACAAGGCCTCTCATCAACCCCACATTGCACCGTGCAGCATGGGGAATTGAGAGGCCGTTTCGATGTTTGCTCGGGCTGACTCTTACGCTCCTTACACCCTGGAAGTAGCTCAATTCCTTCTCTTACCACCGCAAGTTCAGAGAGAGCGAACAATTACAAAGCCAATGCATACTCTGTTTTCTTATCACTTGGCTTTCCCTGCTTCTTTTACGACCGCAAGTTCAGAACACACAAAGAAAACAGAGCGAACACATCACAAAGCCAATGCGTACCTTGTTCTCTCATCGTTCGACTTTCTATGCATTCTGAAATCGCAAAGTGCTGAACGAACATGAACCCCTCCTATCTATGGCTACTCCTTAACATGCCGTACATTGGATTGCAGTAGTGCGTTAAAAAGATGATGGGAGGTGCCACATATTTGCGGAATGGTCTACTGGCAGAAAAATAAAAAACATTTTCCTTGTGGTCTCAAACAAAATAAAAATAGATCCAGAAGTGGCGTACGGATAGCCAAGACGATGCATCAGCAAAAACCACCAGCCCGACACACAGTGATGTGCGACATTCACTGCAGATTGGCAGCTTATCAACATTACTGAACCCCCCCCCCCCCCTTCTCTTCAAAGGCTTATCGCACCCCACGTGGGATTTTTACCGCTCCAGTCAGCGTTCCACTGTGCTAGTTCCTGTCGCCGTCCACTATTGTTCCAATATGTAATGAAATATTAGCGATCTTTTGAGCCTACTAAATAGTGCAACACGACGACAAGAGTGTGCTTGCTCTTGTTCTATTGAAAGATGCCAGCACATTGGCGTTTCAAATCATGTCATCACATCAGGTGTGGGCCCAAAGTAGTCGAATAACCAAATCAAAGGTCACTGGCAAGACGGCGAGTTTACAAAAAACAGAGAGCACGAGGTTCCTCCTCTAGAAAACCTTTGATGTGTCGCTGGGAGAGTCGGCTGCTTTGCTATATGAAACACCACTGCTGTGTTTTTTTCCCAAAACATTTTAAAATATAGTCCCCAGATAGGCCCCCCCCCCCCCTCAAAGGTTGAGGGCCAACAGGGGAGGGTGGGGGGTGGGGGGGGGGGTAGTATAGGAAATTTTTTAACACGCACACAACGACCTGAGGCTCTGTTGACACATTTATTATCCTGTGCTGTTTTTACACCTGCTAATTGTACTGCAGCAATTAAGCTCAAACAATTTTTACTCCCAGTAATATATTTGTTTTATGCCAAATCAGTCATTAAATGTGTTGAAGTTGGGATCCCTCATTGCAGCACATCTACCTTTAATGCCTCTTTTTTGCCTCAAACCTCGATTGACTGGAACCGCCTTCCTGCAGTCATTGTCACAATTACTGCCTCAGATAAATTTAAGATTGCCATTACTAACCTGTTACATGATGTTTAGTATTAAGTTTGTGTATTCCATGTACATTGCCATCACAAACCTGTTAAACGATGTTTAGTAGTTATTTTGTGTAGTTTTTGCCTTTTCATTGTTATTTGCTTTGTTCTACTTACTGTGCCCCACTCCTCTCTGTAATGCCTTCAGGCCCTGAGAGACATAATAAATGAAATGAAATAAATGAAATGAAAATGAATGAAGTAGAAAACATAAAAATTGACTAATCAGAACTCAATGCATCAAATGAAAATATGAAACAGTAAATCTTTTTTGGGTGATTGTTTCATGTAATGCTTACTTTTATCAACATGGTCCTACACAAATTCTTAACATTTCCCTATGTTCTTTTTCGACCTTTGTGACTGACTTCCTCTTAACCCTTTCATATTGACACAGCGATTTGAAAATAATTACGATATTTTATATTTAAACTTTTGGTGAGCAAGTTTTCTCACAATACAGTATTTTGCCACCAAGGGGAGAGGCACAATGGTGCCTGCATGTCGGATCTCCTGCAAGAGCGACGGTCGCTTCCCGCAATGCTTGGGTAGGAAATGGCATACCATTTCGATTCACAAGATTACCTGCGACCTCCGCGCTTCCCCGTGTCCCGTTGTTCGGCAGCACCATGAGTTGCAAAGTGAATTTTACGACAGTGCAAGATGCGGGACATTTTGAAGATGTGGAAATTTCTCGCGGGACGCGGGACACGAGCCCTCAATGTGGGACAGTCCCGCGAGTCGCGGGACGGGTGGTCACCCTATATGGCCCCCATAATCAAACGAGTTTGAGACCCCTGCTCGATATGGTTCAGGCCAGAAAGAAGGAAACTCTCCCTCAATTCTTCCTTTCCATCAGTGAGGGAGACACTCCTCTTTTCTGCAGGGAGTAGCTCAAAGAGCCCCTCCTGTGGGGTGAGTAGATTGCGAGAGGGAATGAAAAGAAGGAAACTGGAAACCAGTTTGCTTCACGGCAAGACTGTTCTGTAGCTTGGCCTTTAGGCGAGTCGAGCACAATGGCACTGTCAGTTCCGGAAGTTATGCATGCCCTTCCTTACCACAACTGCTCCACGCAGGAACTTGAACCCTAGTTTCCTGAATCTACCTGCACCAGTTCATTCTTTACCATGAACTGCAATTGTAAATCAAACAGTGCAGAGTACACTGAGCAGAAAACTGAAAGTAGATAAGTGCAGGAGCGACTGAGACATCCGGTGACCAATTTGCATGAATACTGGTTTGAGATTTGCATAACATCAGGTTACAATTTTTTCTTTTAAAATTTCTAGTGAGGTTATAAAATCCATTATGGCTGTAAAAGCAAATGTCTAAAAACCAGCACCTGAAGGTGATACCACACTTTACAACAGCCACTCATTCTTTTTTTTTTTTTTTTTATCTGTACATTAGCAGGGCAGAACTCAGCACCTCAACCACTTTTTGTTTGGAGCGATCTCTCGTGACGAATATCATTCCCTTTGGATGGAACCTTAGGCCTGCTTCGAACAGGGCACCTTTCTCAACAATTTTGGTGTTGCTGGCGGGTTCTTCCCTAGCTTTCCCTAGATCAACACTAAATGCTGAGATTGGGTCCGGCTCAATACAAGCGAGCAACTAGGAGCAACTCAAAGACGTTTGAAGCGGCAGCAACCAATCAGGGATGCAATATTTTCATGTGATGCCCCAGTGCCGGTGATGATGACAACTAAAGACTTGGTTCTGGTCTGAAATTTATTGTTTTCGGAAATAAACCGTTTTAGAAAGATGCACTAGTATTCTCAACATTTAAATGAATAAAAACATATTTATAGTGTGTAACTATGTGTCTAAATAGTTCAAGAAAAATAAAATTTTATGATGATGGCAAATTGCAGCAATTGGTTGCTGCAAGTGAACGCGGGCAGCCCGTGTTGCTGGTGTTGAGACGTCAAGTTGCTTGGCGAAATTGCCCCGTCTGAAGGTGGCCTTAGGCCCGCTTCAGACGGAGCAATTTCACCCAGCAACTTGACGTCGCAACACCAGCAACACCGATCGCCCGCGTTCACACGCAGCAACCAAATTGCTCCGACTTGCCATCATCATCATTAAATTTGATTCTTCTTTCACTATTTAGACGCCCAGCTACACGCTAAAAACGCGTTCTTATATCTTTGAACGGCGTTGAGAATACTAACTCATTTTTCTGAAACTGTTTATTTCGAAACCGATCCATTCCAAACCAGAACTAAGTCTTTAGCTGTCATCATCACCACCACAGGGGTGTCACGTGAAAATATCACGTCTCTGATTAGCTGCAGCCGCTTCAACCGTCTTCGAATTGCTCCGAGTTGCTCGCTTGTTCGAGCCAGACCCGATCTCAGCAATTTGCGTCGATCTAGGGAAAGCTAGGGAACAACCCGCCAGCAACCTCAAAATTGCTGCAAAAGTTGCCCCGTCTGAAGCGGGCCTTAAGGTCTCTTCACACGATGCATCTTGTTGGCAAATCTTGTGTCGCCAAACTAGGTTTCAGGAAACAGATTCCCCGTCTGAACGCGACCGAAAAAGTGGCGAGCCTCCAAAAAATGTGGCGCGACTTCATCGCTCGTGGAGCAATTTTTCGCTGAAACCTAACCGAGGCCTGTCAATCGCCCGAAAGAGAAACGCGGGCGCTGCCAATGGCCGCTCGACTTGGCTATGACGTCTCTGGCCTTCGAGGAGGAGCGAGCTTTTGGAGTCCGATTTTCAGCCGATTCCGTATCTGAGCCAAAGCCGAAAGAAAATAAACAAACATGGCAAGCGACAAGCGGAGAAGCAGTGCCTACGGGCGACGAGTCTTGGTCCTACTCGGTTGCAGGTGTGTGAACAGCACTTACAGTACGGGTTGGTGGCACGGTACAGATTCATCAATAGTCGCGACAAGTGCAAGCACCGGATATAAACCTGGTGACTGGGAATAACTTTCTTTATTAGCAATGCAAAAATGTCCGAAATGCTTCGAGATCATCTGCCTGTTCTTTGACGTTCGCGGTCTTTCCCGGGTTTGGCAGGACTAGTAAACCCAGTGAGCCGAATCTGACGAAGTTCATTGAGTGGTATTAATAAAACTGACTGTCTCTTCACACTGTGCATACTTCATATCATTTTGATGAGAAACGCTCGGTATTCTTGGTGCAGATGACAAGGTTTGGCGAAATTCTCGTGAGTCAATACGTCACAGGTTTCGCGCGTCAAACTCCACGTGTGAAGAGGCCAATTTCGCAAAATCTTGGTTTCGCTAAACTGTGGCACGTTGAAAAGATGCATCGTGTGAACAAGCCATTAGTGGTGGTTGTACTTCGGCCTGGGCGGAACTATAACAAGTCTGCTAGAATTCCGTCCAGACAGAACACTAGCGGCGACTATCTTTCACTTTGGATGGAACGCTAGCCGCAGCCTATACGAAAATAAATAAAAACCCGGTCATTGCACAGACAGTTCCATGTCATTGAAGTGCCCAAAAGGATTTCTATGCCACAGAGCATGTGCCCCCCAGAATGTGAGCACATGCAAACTAAAAATAAACGGAGGAATAGCAGATGTGATGTTCACCATAAACTGGGCTGCCGAGTGTTCTGTGGAGCGACTGGAAATTCCAAGTGACCTGCGCCACCGTCATCCCGAAGTTCACCAAAATCTTCTAAAGGAGCGAACCGTACTAATACTCACTGGAGACATTCGGAGGCCTTGCCCTTATTTTGGTAGTCAACTATGGCTTGAATCAACTGGCTGTTTTCGTCCAGCATCTGTATCAAGGAGGGAAAAAGATATGTAACAGCCGCACCGTTGCCGACGGTCATCGCCAATCGACGGTCATCGGCACGTCGCTTCCGCCAGCTACTTCGGCTTGGCGGGTGACACCGATCACATCTAGTGCTAGGAGGCGCTTTTTGGGAAGTTTTTTTCGGTGTCATTTTAGTTGTTACGCAGCACGAACAGTGTAACGAAGGAATAGCTTGCAATAAATTTGAGACAACCACCACGACCAAAGTGCATGCGTTGCCTAAATGCGTCCGCTTCAGACAAAGCGGTCTGTCCGCGTACCGGCGCACGGTCCCACTCGGCACTTATGCAACCTATCCTACATCGTGTGCCAGTAGACACAACTCGCTCATTCGACAAAAGAGCATTTTGCAGAAAACAAGACCGGACTGCGTAGGTTCATCGTGTACGCACCTTTTGTATCTGAGCCGGGCTGGGATTATGTCGACCTTTCTGTTGCTGCGCGAACGCGACCGACATGTTGTCGTCACTTGGAACGACGTGCTACTTCAGGCGACAAAGTTCGGACTCTCTGCTCAATGCTTCAAAATAGGTTGACTAACGTCAGAGTCAAGTACGCTTCTATATTCCTACATTGACGGCACAGCAAAGCCAAACAATGGTTAGGCGGAAATGAAGCGCGGGAGAGACACTTTTTTCACAAAGCTAGTGGATGGGCGGTGCTAAAGAATATGTTAAGTATATGTCACGTGGTACGTTACGTAGCTCATAGAGGCTGTGTTCCAAATCTTACCCAAATGAATCCGAGTCACTCCGGCGGGTCGTGTCACGTGACATCACAGATGGAAAAGCGCTGGATGCGGGTAGGTTTTGAAACGCCAAGGTACAGTAGCCAAGGTACACAAAACCCTTACCCTGGAGTAAGATCGAGTAAATTTTGGAACTCGGCCAGAGTTACTGAAGTACACGACCTACTGTAGTCCCGCCCTGCCCACAGAAGAGTGTGCCAGCGAGCACCTTGTAGTACAGGCCGCGGCCGCAACGTTTCGTCACGCTATGACTCCGCGGCGCTACGCAAGAGTTTTTTCTAGGGAGCCTACACGGCTTACATACGAGTCGGCGAGTATGTAGGCTCCCTAGTTTTTTTAAAGCCGTCTGGGTACCCGCATGCATATTAATCGAAGGCACGCAAGGGCTGTATTCAAAATTTTGCCCAAATGAATCCGAGTTACTCCGACGGGTCATATCACGTGACAGCACATATATTGAAAAACCATGGACGCGGGTAGGTTTTAGACGTTTTAGAACGCCGAGGTATGTACAACACCCTGACCACCCTGACCCTGGAGTCCTGCGTAAAGTCACCGATCCAGGCCGTGTTCCAAAATTTACTCGATCTTACTCCAGGGTAAGGGTTTTGTACCCTTGGCGTTCTAAAACCTACCCGCATCCAGTGTTTTTCAATCTGTGCTGTCACGTGATACAATCTGCCGGAGTAACTCGGATCCATTTGGGTAAGATTTGGAACACAGCCCCAGTGACTTTTGTCCTGCGTACCTCTCTCCTCGCAGGCCTCGCGGGATCTCGTTGACACAGAGCGAGTTGCGCGGCCCGAACACGGATGGCGCCACCATAGAGGTGTACAGCAGCGCTCGCGTGGTCGGAGGCGCTCATTACTAAAAACTAAACAAAACAATAAGGAATCAAACCTCATTCAACTTTAGTTATGACTGCATATTATTTTACTAAATACAAATTAAGCATTCCTAAAAATATAATATATTTTTTTAAAAGTTCATGTCAACATTACACTCTCGAATTTTTGTTTTTTTTTGTTTTTTGCGCTTCTAAAACGAAACCGCTGCCTGTGCGCATGCGCGCTTGCGCTCTGCGCGTTCTGAAACCGGTGGACCGTTGTGGAGGCGTCCGTGGGTCTGCTCGGTCATGCTCGGTGCTTTCGCGTTTTCGCTCGCCTTCGGAGCGTCAAGCTTCGGCGCCTCGATCATCGCATTGCGCGAGCCTCGCACTTTCGGGCAAGTGGAAAGCTTTTCGTGTCTTTGAACCACCTCATTTGTGCGGTTACGCAAAGTGTGCCCAAGCAGCGTCGGGGACAAGAAGCACACGTTCGTTCGGATCCCAACTGACGACGGTGAGTTTGAAAGTTTTCACCCCAATTGAAACTTTTCCTAAGCTGATCTTCCAGCCACAAATTGCACCATTTGAGGGTTTTGTATTCTTTTAGGTAATTTAATATATGGTTTCATTTTTTTTAAATTTACAAAACGTCACCGTGATTTCATTGCGATGCACCCATTTCGGCGAGCGTTCTTAGCACGGTTTTGTGGATGAAGACCGTCCTGCAAATATTTTATGATCTGTAGACTGTTGGCGAAATATCACCTCCTCTACTTCTCGTCGATTTCGTTCACAGCAGTGTCGATCCCCGTCGAGTGAATTGTAGTCTCTATATAAATATTCTTCTCCCAGTTTTATAATATTTCGGAGTTCACATCTTATAATATCTGCCCGTTTTTATTAATGTATCTCGTGTAGATTCTTTTACAGCCCTGCGACTAGTTTCGCCACGTTTTATTTCTTTCAGAAATAAATAGAAAGCTGGATAGTAAAATAATTTAATCTTTAAACACACTTTTAATATCTTGAAAGATTTACGCATAGAAGGGCGGAATGCAGACAGGAGAGCTTGATCGCGAGATGTGCTATCCGTCCTTCCATGCGTAATTCTTTCGAAAGTTTTTACACCTCCCAACGCACTCCCCTCAAAACAATGAAAACTCGCGTTAGGAATTTTTTTTTTTCGTTTGTTGCACATAAAATAACATCATTTGCATTATGTTGTTGTTGTTTTTTGTTTTTTTTTTTGTGTATTCATACAGATTCTCAAGGCATGAAAATCACTCCAACAAGCCTCAGGGACAGGGAACTCCAATAGACAAAAGGTATGCCCGTGGTAACTTTTTTGTGAAGTGCATTTGATTGTTGGCCAACCTATTAAGCTGAATATGTAACCATCAGCATGCTAGGTTCCGCCGTAGTGATCTATGCAGTCTAATCTACGATCAACTGCAATGTAAAACAAGAGTGGCTGGGGCAAAGAGGATTACAACAAAAACAAAAGGATAGTAGGAGCAGCCCTCTGCAATATTTCATAGCCCTGTTTCTCTTCTGCAAGTGTATGTGTTGTGACGAGACAAACTAATGTGTTCTTACATTGTCCTGTGCAGATCCTGGGAGGATAGAGAACACACATACAGCAAAAATGAGAAAGAGCAATGAAGTGGCTGGTCCATCCCATGGGCATCATAGGATCTCGGTGGCCACACCAAGAAAACCTGGTTCAACTCGTGGTTCAACTTGACGGTGCAAGCGACAGGTATCGGAAGCTCATCAAGAGGCCAAGAGAAATCAGAAATACCAAAGTGGTCTACAGAGAGCTAGGTCTACACATTATTAAGTATCTAAAGATTTTGGTTCAGGTCTGTAAGTTAAGCAATGTTGTTAGCCTGCTGGTGGCCAACAACCTCTGGGCAGTTTTCTTTTTAGGGTGGGAGGGCGAGGGGGGAAATATCTGTTGCTTCGAACCAGTGATTCCAGGACCTTTGGCAGCTAGAAGTCAAACTACGTATTTGGAGAGTTTCACTCTTTAAGATTTATTTATTTATTTATTTGATACCCACAGCGCCTTTCAGCATTACAGTGGGGGGTTATACACAGAAAATCAAGTATGACGTAACAGGTACTACATTGGAAACATTCGTAAAAAGACAACCCACTAAAATTTTGCATTATTGTCTTATTACACAGGTTGAAGAATTGATGTTTTATCGTAATATACATTCAGGTTGGTATTTGAGATTCCACAACCTATAACCATTTAAATATCTTCTTAGACATACCTCACTGCAGGAACGTAGCCAGGATTTTGTTTGGGGGTGAGGGGGGGGGGGGCGCTCATGACAAAATGCTGTATGAGGGGGAGGGGGAGAGGAGGTCCTAGCAAAATGGAATATTTCAGGGGGGGGGGGGCAGGGGCAGGCCCCATGGGCCTCCCCCCTGGCTACGTGCCTGCCTTACCATTAGGGCTGTTTGCATACAATTCTCCGGCAAGGCTGCATATTTACTTCACACTGGGTTTGCTTCTATGTAACACATATCAGAAATTATGAAAATTGTGTTTTCATGTCACGGAAACAGACGTTTCTGTTTGCTGTTACAGTATTTTCTCTTTAATATGGACATCTCGATTTTCCAAAAACAATTCTCCATAATGTTGGTCATCCATAATCTTGAATCACTGCCAAGATCACAAAGAATAAACAATGAAGGTGGTATGTTGTTTATTTTTGTCATCTGCAACTGGGAAAGGAAAAGAACTGCAAGTGATTCAGGCTGGAGACCCCTGAAAATTGTAACCATTGAGTCACCATTTTCATTTCTGACAATAGTGCAGCTCTGGGTGAATTCCGTAACCGAAGAGCTTTACTATTCTTTTTTGAAAATGATTATGATGATTAAAAAGCACGACAGGACAACGGACACAGAAGGAGACACAGACACAGTGCTGTGTCTCCTTCTGCGTCCGTTGTCCTGTCGCGCTTTCTAATCATTATGAATCACCAACTCGCCCAACGTTCTACCCTCGTCATTCTTTTTTGCCTCACTAATATATTCCCCCCCCCCTTTTTTTTTTGCGTTTGTCTTTACAGAGACCACAATAAAAAGATAAAAAAACATGTATTTATCCATTTCGCTCCCAAGCTAGTTGACGTACTTCGGGTTTCTTTATTTAACGTGACGAGATAGAATTGTATGGGGACACATATCAGTCCCCGAAAATATGACATTTATAGCGGCGTGACCGAAACGATCGACCATGTTAGCGAGACATGACTATTGTTTTTCAATCGCGAAGACCGATATTCTCGCGCCATAGTTGCGTCTGAGGTTTACGAAACTATAAGCAGTCACTTGGTGAACTAAGGCAGTAATTGTTGGTGCGCGCCAGTAGCCTTTCAAAGTGAAAAAGCTATGTCATGTTCGCGCTTACAGTGTCGCACATTGTATTTTCACTGTAGCACGTCTTGCTAACGTAGATACTGCGCTCATTATTAATTTTTTTTCCGCATAGCAACGCTTGTATAAAGTGAGTGTAAATTGTTTTTCCTTGTCATGCAAATGACTGAATAAATGCGTCAACGAGTGCGAAAAATGCTGCATCTGTTTCGATTCCCTGGAAGACGCCGACGACAAGTAACGGGCTATCAACTGCTGGACACAAGGTAGGCAAGCAGAACTTACAATTCTTTGCCATAACACGTGATATGGCACGCGCGAACCGTAAATTTCCAAACAAAACCTACCGCGGTACCGGCGGTACCACGGTAGGGAGCAGCGGCAGGGCACGGCGGAAGGACTGCGCCATGTTGGATTTTGAGCGGCTTCGTCTACGCAAACGGCTAGGAAGCCGCTCCAGCTAGCTCGACGGCGTCAAAAGTAATTATTAAAACGTGCGCGCTTCATTTTATGTACATAATTATCGCTGCTTATTTTAGTTTCGCAATCTATTAATAGAGCAATGAAGCTCCGATTCGTTGCAGTAATGAGCGCCTCCGACCACGGAAGCGCTGCTGAGCGCCCAGTTTTCCCAGAAATCGACTCCATTGGGTCTATGGCAGTGTCCGGGTACTGCAGTAGGCGCGTGACAGATTCGTCGAT